TGTGCATAAAAGTCCCCAGTTGTCTCGTTTTGCATTTTCTTAAGCCCGTTGCAGAGAACGAGGGTAAAAACCACCGGGAAGGGTGGGCACAGGGCTTTGGGGTGGGCCAGGAGGCTCACAGCCCGTTTGCAGCTGGGAGGTTCTTCCCTCCGTGGCCACATTCATGTTAGCGGTTCCCCTAAATGCCTCCTCGTACCCTGAGCTTCAGCTCCAGGCCCTCGGACAATGAGAGCATTCAGACATGTGCACGGACGAGCTCAGAGCGTTGACTCAGAAAGGGTTAGGTGGCTGGGGGGCCTTGCCATCACGCTGCCATACCCTCGGACCCAAGGGTGAGGTCCGAGAACAGAGGTCAGGAATGTAAAGAAAAATTCCTCCATCAGTGTTATTTATTAACCACTGGGGTGGAATCTTAAAACAGAGTTTTGGTTGCTTAGAAGGTGGGTGGGGGGCTGTGTGAGGGAAGACCAGAGTGTTTTAGGGACCCTGTAGAAAACCGTCAAATGAGCCTTCCTTGGACTTAGCTCACCCTGGGGCCACGATGCAAAAGTTCTGTGCCATAGAATTTTAGTTCAGCCCAGAATGGACTTGAGTCATTTCTAAATGGCTAAATGTCTATGGCAATGATGCTGCTCTCCCTTCTCAAATATTAATTTTTATCAGGGTTAAGAGATTGGAGCCCGAAGTTCAAGTACAAGATCAAGGAAGTTTGGATTCTATTGCATCTTCTTATTCTTAACCATAGCGGGCTGTGTGTTGTTTGCTCCATGTTGTATTTAAAAACAAAACAAAACAAAAAGCAAAACACTAGCGAGACTTAAAAATCACTTAATGTTATACAAATATCATCCTCTTTTGAGAAAGATAAGATCTGGAAATAACGGGCCCAGTTTCTACCTGGCGGCAGTTAGCTGAACTGGGTGGCTGCTGCCTCAGTTTACCCCTGGCCCCTGCGTGACCCGCCCTCCTCCTGTCTGCTGCCTGTGCAAACCTCTCTCGGAGTTGGAACCTGCAGCCACCCTGTGGCACATCATCTCATCTATTCCCTAATTAGGTAACGAATACCTTAGGTCTGTGGATAGATTTATAATCTTGGAAGTCTGGGTTAGGGCCGACTGGCTACTCTGTGAGCCTGGGTGTTTATCTTGTTGAATGCCACCAAAGAACCCCTTCCGTCAGATATCATATTCATGCACGCTCTTATGATTAGTAGGTATCCTGCTTTTCGACAAGAATTCAAGGCTCTGTAGCTTGATCTGGCGTATATCCCAAGCACACATTCCCAAGTACAAAGGGAAAATTATTGGAACTCGTCACAGGTGGTTTATTGCTGATCCAGCAGTGATGAAAAAGCCCTTTCATGAATAGTTCTGGCATGAATTCTTCGGTTGGGCATTTTAGGGAGGAAAAGTTGCGGGCCGTGTCCGTTTGATTTCCTGATGAATCTGAAGCACACAGCCCACTCGTGAGCCGAGCCGGAACCCCCTCCCGGTTTCCAGCATTCGATCAAGTTTGCATCTGATTTATTTGTTCATTCATTCACCTTAACGGAGGTCACTTTTTCTGCTGCTGCTTCGACTTCCAGATATTCTGACTCAAGGGCCCTTGAGACCCCAACTCTGGCTGTTAAGGACAGTAAGACTCAAGACCTTGCAATCCTTTATCATTTGACAACATAGAATGATGCTTTTAAACAGAAGCACGGATCTGTCAGAATAAGAAGTAGCTTGATTTTACATCATCTCGCTTTGGAAAAGAATGCGGTTGTCTCACCTTATCCCGGAGATGTTCGCCTCTGCCGTAGTTGAGAAGGGTTAGTGAGCACCCAGATTCTAAACTTGTCCCTTCTCAATAGGACCTGGGGGGGTTTTCTGTGTGCTGTTAGAAAGTAGCCTTAAACTAACACCGACTGAAGTTAAAGTCTCAGTGAGAGAGTGGGAGGTGAGAATGAGCGACCCCCCACAGGGCTCATATCCTGTTCGAATCCCTACCCCCCCTCCCGGCCCCCACAAGACTGATGAGGTTTTGATTAGGTAGGGGGACAAGCATAGTCTTGCAGTAAGTCCCTTTATCGAGAGGTTTGCCATAGAAGAAAGCCAGCATGGTTAAAACATGTTTACCTACAGTTGCGATTCATCCTTCATTAGGAACATTCATCCTTGTTGATCTTTTGAGATTTATTATTCAACTTTTCCTCCAGCACAGTCCCGTGGGGTCCATGGCGTGGGGGCTGGGCCGGCCAAGGGCAGAACAGCCTCCACCCCCCTGAAAGCCACTTCCGCTTCTGGAGTTTCAGGCCCTTTCTCTATTAGGTTAAGAGCAGTCTACGGGGGAATTAGTCTATCTCTTTGAAGCCCAATATCACAGACTTTTCACATCTTTTCAGAACAATGAACTGGGTTTTTAAGGGGTAAAGAAACAGCTGCTTGAAAACAAAAATGAAAAAAATCCTTTCGATCCGTTTGCAGGCATCCAAAGAAAAATTTCGTTTCTTTTTACATAAAATGGACAGGTAAAGAAGGATGCCAATCGGGCTTGCATATACTTAGGTATTTGTAATATCTTGTGCCGGTATGTTTACTTAATTAAAAATAAAAGAAATGCACGTACATGCTAAAAATATTTCAGTAACGTAGAAAGATAAAAGTAAAAGCTAGAAAGATTTCTCTTCATGTTGATCAACCTTTTATATACAGATGGGGTTATTTGGTATATACAGATCTTTACTGGTCTTTTTAATTTTAAACTTCGAAAGAAGATTGTTAGCAGAGTTATCAAATTAAACAAATAAGCAAATGGGTTTCCAAAGACTTAAGCAGGCCCCTAGCAAAAAATAAATAAATAAGGGAAAATGGCTGATTAGCTGTGGCTTGGAGGGAGAGATCAGTGTGCCAGTTTCTGGCATGGGTCGGATTAGAAACCTAGTTCATCCCGGTTGACTTGTTATGACATAATTAAAATAGGGTCCGGTTTCCCATTCTTGAATAACTTCTTTCTAATGTAAATTCAGTTAATATCAGCAACAGAAACCTAATTAGATAGCTGAGCAGGGCACCAACTGAGGATGTATAAACAAATCGTTTAGGGCTGGAACAGAGAGGAGAAATAATCAGCTTCAGGCCCCGTGTTTCGGAGGGAGCGGAGATTGGAGGTGGGCGGCAGAGCCGGGCTGGGGCTCCTAGTGTGATCCCCACCACCCCTTCACCAGCCGAGGTCCCCGAAACGAAGGCAGAACCGTGAGCAGCAAGCTGCAGGGTCTTCTTAGTGGCTTTCGAAGAGTCTCCTGGTGAAGGGAATGGGGGCTCAGGGAGAACCCTGATGACATAGAGGTGCCGGAGGTGGCTGCTGCTGGGAGAGCTCCTGGAAAAGCGACTCTTTTTACCCACCACTCCTTATGGAAAAATACCCATTATGACATAGGTCAGACATTTGGACAGTTAACGGGGTAATATGATGCACACCCATATACCCACTACCAGGCTGAAAGATGACACGGCATTTCAGGTGGAGTCGACGCCTCCTGCGTGCCCCTTTCTCCGTCACCTAAAACCCACCCCCTTTGCTTCCCCGAAAAATTAAGCCGTATAGGAAGAAAAGGAGTGGCAGCGGTCCCTTTTTTCTTTTTAAATACCGCGCCCTTGGACTTGGAATAAAATGGCAGCTTATTTGGCCTTAACACCGGACCTCTCCCATGTTCGTTTCCTATTACCACTGTATAAATTGCTGCAAGTCTGGTATTTTAAAGCAGCATAGATTTATTAGGTTACAGCCCTGTTGGTCACAGGTCCGACCCGGGTCTCACTGAGCTGTGATCACGGTGTCCGCAGGGCGGCGTTACGCCCAGAGGTCCCGGGGAGAGAATCTGTGTCGTCGGCTTTTCCAGCTCCTGGTGGCCGTGCACGTTTTTTGGTCTACGATCCCCTACTCCACCCTCAAGGCCAGCGATATTGCTTGTCCCTTACCCTCCTTCTGCCTTCACATTTCTCTCCGGCCACAGCCGGGAAAGTTCCCACTTTCGAGGACTTGCGTGATTCACATTGGATCGCCCGGACAATCCAGGAAAACCTCCCCATTTCCAGGTCCTCAGTCAGTCACATCTGCAAAGTTCCCGTCGCCCCGTATGGCCCCACATTCACAGGTCCCAGGGATTAGGATGAGGGCGTTTTCGGGGATCGTTATTCTGCCTATTGCACCTTCCATCAACACCCTAATGGTGACAAGGTCAGGCGTGGACGCCTGACAAATCGTGCCTCTGGGAACACAGCATGTTGGGCGGGTGGGTGGGCCAGTGGACCAGAACCACCTATCAGGTACGCCCGGCCCGGTCTTCACCACTCACCAGCAGCATTATCCCGGCAACGCCTCGGGGCCCTGGCATCTTCATCTGTACGACCAGAGTTCTCATCTCTGCAGCACTGATGTTTGGGCGGGGATAATTTCCTGTTGTGCTTAGCAGCATCCCTGGCCTCCACCCATGAGATGCTAGCAGCACACACCCCCCCGTCGTGACAACCAAAATGTCCCCAGACATTGCCAAATGCCCCCTTGGAGCACAGAATCGCTCCATCGAGGACTGCCATAGATATCCACCTTGCCGAATATCTGGGGGACTTAAAGGGAATCCTGAAGGCCAAGCCACCCCATCCCAATAACGGCGTGGCTTGGTGCACGTTCTTCCGGAAGTGACGTGTGGTCTGTGCTAATCACTTTTAGTCCTGCGCGGTTCTCTCTGCTACTGGTCTGGCGTTTGGTCTGCTCTGGGGCCTGGAAGAGAAGGCAAGTCGTACCTTAGAGGGGGCAGCTGTGAGTGCGTGGAGTCTCAGCAGGCCCAGAGGGGTAGCCGCTGTCCCTGGCCACCCCGCACAGCCTTCCCTGGGAGCCCAGTGATTGCTCGGGCTTCACCCATCTCTGTTCCTTCTTCCACCTTTGTGTCCATTTGCTTGACCTGTGAACTGGGACCCTCAGGCCGAGGGTCTGACCTTCGACCCTCTTCTGTTTAGGTGGCCCTGGTGCAGTGGACTGAAAGCGTGGGCTTAACCCTGGTGGGCCGCGACCAGTCTTCCATGCAGCTGAGGACCCCTGGCGACCAGATCCTGAACTTCACCATCCTGCAGATCTTCCCTTTCACCTACGAAAGCAAGCGGATGGGCATCATCGTGAGGGTGAGTCCTGTGTCACTGATGACTTAAAACAGCCAAAAGCCCCAAGCCGAGTGTGCCGCGACTGTCCCTGAGGCTCGATGTCCTTTCTTACCGGCTTCTAACCATCCTCGCTGTGTCGTCTGTTACCCAGACTAACAAGGGAATGTAATTCCCTAAGCAGAGAGAATATTAGTTCATCTCTCGGGCAGAGCCTCGGGCAGCTGGTGGGCTTCTGGTTGACTCAGGTCTAGAGTGAGAGTGTAGGCTGGGCATTTCTCAATGATAATACATTTCTTGTTGTGTGCTCTGTTGTTTAATTACATGTGTATTCCTTTATGGAGGTGAAATTCACCTAACAGAAATTTTCCATTTAAAATGTATAATTCAGTGCCATTTAGTATAGTTACAATGCTGCGCACCACTTCTGTCAAGTTTTAAAACATTTTTATCACCCCAAGAGGAAACCCCGCACCCATTAGGCAGTGACTGCCCCGCCCCTCTCTCCCCTCTCCCCCGCTAGGCCCTGGCGTCCCCAGTCTGCTTTCTGTCCCGGCAGACTTGCCTAGTCTGAGTATTTCACATAAATGGCCTCACACGATATGTGAATCTGTGCCTGGCTTTCTTCCATTTAGCCTAATGTTTTCACGGTTCATCCACATTGCCACCGGTATCAGGACTTCTTGTCTCTTTATGGCAGAATCATTTTCCACGTTGCTTACCCTTTCCTCCGCTGATGGACCCTGGGGGTTTTTCTACCGTTTGGCTGTTGCGAATGATGCTGCTGTGAACATTCGTGCACGAGGATTTGAATACCTGTTCTCAGTTCTTTTTGAATATATATCTCAGCATTGAATTGCTGGGTCATGCTGGATCAGTTACTCAATTACTGGGTAGTTCTATCTTTTTTAACTTACGGGGAGCCTCCAAACTGTTTTCTGCAATGCTGTGCCATTTTACATTCCGACCAGCAATACGTGAAGGTCCCAGCTTCCTTGCATCCTCACTACCACTTATTATTGTCTATTATTATTATTATTATTATTATTATCATCATCATCATTAGCATCTTAGTGGTTGTGAAGTGGCATTTCGCTGCGGTTTTGATCTGTATTTTCCTAATGACTAATGATGGTGAACATCTTTATATATTTATTGGCCACTTACATATCTTCCCTGAAGAAATGTCTGTTCAAGTCGTTGGTCCTTTTTTTGGGGCTATCTTTTCATTGTTGAGTTGTAAGAGTTCTTTATATAGTCTGGATACTGGAGCTTTGTCAGAGATACGATACGCTCACAGTTTCTCTCATTCTGTAAGTTGTCTTTTACTTTATCGATAAAATTCCTTTAATGCACAGAAGTTACTAATTTTGATAAAGTCCAGTTTATCTATTTTTTCTTTTGTGGCTCTTGACTTAGTATCATTATCTAAGAGTTCATTGCCAAATCCAAGGTCTTGAAAATTTACTCCTATATTTTCTTTTAAGAGTTTTCTAGTTTTTGCCCTTTAGGTCATTGATCCATTTCGAGTTAACTTTTGTATATGATGTGAAGAAGGAGCTTAACTTCATTCTTTTGCATGTGGATATCTAGTTGTCCCAATGCTGTTTGTTGAAGAGACTATTGTTTCCCCATCAAATAGTCCTGGCACCCTGTTGTATTTCAATATTTTCATTATTTTTTTATTTATACAATTACAAAAAGTTATTGAAAAAAAATGACTTTTTAAATCACTCAGCGTCATCATTTTGCCGTATTTCGTATTTTCTTCTCATATTTTTGAAAATTTTATTGAAATACGACATACGCAGAAAAAAGTGCAAACATCATTAGATGTACATATCTCAAGTGTTAATAAAGTTAACACACCCGTGTAACCAGCACCCAGACCAAGGAACAGACTCCCACCCACTGTCACTCTTTAGCTCCCTCATGTCCCATTTCTGGTTAATAACATCCCCCACCCTACAAGGATATAACCTCTGTCCTCATTTTTACCATTGATTAATTTTGTCTCTCTTTGAACTTTATATAAAGGAAGTTGTACAGTAGGTACCGTTTTGTGTTTGAATTCATTTGCTCAAATTTATATTTGTGAGATTCATCCATATTTTCGCATGTATTATAGTTCAAAAAATTTCTTAAAGCAATAAAACACTGTGCAGTGAATTGAAATCCCATCTGTCCTTACACCAAGTTCAATCATTCATAGGAATTTAAAAATATGATTATCAGACATGTTTGGGTATAAATATTATGTTTTATGGTTTACACATTTTTATTCTCTGTATGAATGGCATGGTAGTACGTGTCATTTTTCCACTTCCTGTTTTTTGTTTAACATTAAAAACACTTCGTGTTTATAGCCTGACTTCCACTTCATTACCCTTAGCTGATTTTTAGTATTGCGTGGTGTGAATAGACCTCTCTTCCTTCCATCTACTGCGGTTCCCTCTTGATAGACAGTTAGGTACCTGTGACTAGAAAGCTTGTTCTCGTCTGCCTCAGCCTCCACTGCACTGATGTGTTTCTCTGTGGCAGATTCCCAGAGGCAGAGTTGCTGGGCTGTCGAATGTATACACCTTTAACTCTACCAGATGCCGTCAACTTTTTCTCCAAAATACTCGTACTAATCTCAGTCCCACCGTTGCTCCACATCCTCACCAACATTCGACAGTGTCAGACTTCTTATATTTTGCCTATCCGAAGAGTCTGAGTTAACATCTTGTTTTCCTACTGGCTTTTTCACTCACAGAGGCCACGCTTTCCGTTCTGGGAAGCCTGGCAACCCCGTGTTCGTACACCGCTTTGTTCAGTAGTTCTTAAAGCTGGCTGGTGGGCATCAGAATTACCACGGGAGCTTTGAGAATGCAGATTCCTTGGTTCCATCCCACTCCTATTTGGGAATGGGAATGTTCCCCAGCGTTTTTAAAGGTTCTTCAGATTCCTTGGCTTGCCCGAAGAAACTTCTGCCTCAGATAATAAGAAGCTTTGGTAGGGAGAGTTTCTTTCATCTTTTCTGGAATTTTTTTCTTAAACGTTGAGGATCCCCTCCACCCTGTCTATACAAGTGTTTCACGCCTTAGGGATCCGAGTTTGGGTGTGACGAGAGGGACATCAGAAAGCTCATAGAGCACCCAGAGTAATACTGGGGTGACGTTGCTGCATACACTTAACTGTTTAAAACAGCAGCAGGTGTTATCTGTGGGCCAGGAGTCTGGGTGAGGCTCCGCTGCGTCTCTAGTCATCCAGGGTTCAGCCGGGGTGGGATCCACTTCCAGACAAAACCAGCGTCGTTGGCAGGATTCCATTCCTTGTGGTTGCTGGACCGAGGGCCTTCGTTCTTTCCTGGCTGTCAGCCAGCGGCCACCCTCATCCACTGCCGCATGGGCCTCTCCAAGGGTCAGCTCCTGTGTCAGCTGGCTTCATCAAAGTGAGCAAGGGAGTGTGAGCAAGATGCAAGCCACAGTCTTTTGTAAGCTAATCTCATAACTGACCTCCCATCACATTTTCCTTGCTCTGTTATTAGAAGCAAGTCCCTGGGTCCTGCTGCCGACTCAGTGGGCATGGATCACACAGGGCGTGGAGACCAGGAGGTGGGGGTCACTGGGAGCCGCTTTAGAGGCTGCCGCCCCCGGTAGAAGGTCGAGACAGCTCCATGAGCTGCTGCTCTGGTGATCCAGGGACAACAGCGTGAATAGGCTGTGACAACAACACACGTGAAGGGGTTTTTATGTCCCTTCTGCCGTACTTCGTACCTACCTACTTCAGACTCCACAGGAATTATAGCCTTGGCAGCTCTGCATGGGAAGGGAGCGTTTTCTCCCACACATCTGCTGCTTTTCCCAATGGTCCACACCTGGCCTGACCTGTGGCTTCCAAACCATATCTTGAGTACACAGCTGATGTCAAGAACATCCGTGGCCTGGAAGTAGCAGCACAAATCCTGTGGGCGGGTGTTTCCTGGGGATTTAGACTCATTATCTCCTATGGAATTACTTTCATTTTGTTCCAGCCCTTTATTTTTTCAAGTTCGAGGGCCATGGACTCTGCTGAAGTCATTTCGAGGTTGAATCATCATGGAATAGTCCCCAGTATTGGCCACCCTAGAACGAGTGGGCTGTAGCGTACCCCACCCTTCCTTTAGTTGTAAAGGTGTCTCATTCCCAGACACGTATCTTATTTTATGAAATGTGGTCTCCGCATCTTCCCATAGCAGGAGGAGCCCTCGTGCCTGGAAGTACGGCTTACTTGTTGGATGTGCAAATCTACCATTACTTTAAACTAGCAACCCCCCCTTCCCAGGTTATTTAAAAAAAAAAAATCATTCGCTTAAGGCATTTAGGACAAATAAATCTATAAAGAAAGGGATCACACCATTCCATCTTTATTTCCCACCCAAAGACGGCCACTCTTACCTTTTCAGAGAATTTCCCTTCATTTTTTCTAAGCATATATGAGTGTGAATAGCCGCATACATTTCATAATAGACTTGAACTCTATATAAGGGTTTCTACCCCCCCTTCCCATCAAACTTTATATATGGTGAAAGTTTTCTCCTATCATTAAAACATGGTTTTTATGATTTTAAAGTAGGGCGTTTTGTTGAAAAATGTACCATTATTTAATACTTTTTTCAGTGCTTAGGTTGTTTTTCGTTTCTCACTGCTAAAGTTGCATCTGTGAGCATCCGGCTTCGCTAGGCTGTCTTTAATGAAATGCATATTATTTTGCTCATCTTTCTTGTTTTCTGCCCGGCCTTCCCCTCTCTTTGGTTTTGATCAGCGGAAGTCAGTATTGAGGGCGTTTGGACTAATTCTCCGCTGCTCCTCTGGCGAAGTGGTTCTCACCTGGGTGCCATCTTGCTCTCAGGGGACATTTGAAAATACACGGAGACATTTTTGGTTGTGAAAACTCACTCAGAGTGGCGCTCGTGGCCTCTGGTGGGCAGAAGCCAGGACGGTCTCCTAACCAGGAATCATCCACCACCAGTGTTCGCTGTGCTGAGGCCGAGAGCTCGGTTCTGTGTGTCCACATGTCCTGTCTGTTATTTGAAAATAACTGTCCATCACCTGATGTGAAGACGTTTTAGCTCGGGAATAAACGTCTCTTGGCTCGGTTTAGCGACCGCTGCCTGAGGGTTTGACTCGCGCCTGGTTCATCAGCGGTTTTAAACGTGTGTGAGATCATGGGCGGTATCTTCCCGCACCCGCATAGCCAGGCCTGGTCTGTGCGTGACTCTGCCTCCCCGAAGGGCGGAAAGGGTTGGAGAAGCCCGTTTCTTTGGGGCTTGCGTGCGTGTCCTCCTGGAAGGAGGCTGCGTTGCCTGCTTTGTTTTTGTTGTGCACAGATGTTCCACTGCCCTCCCCCCCATGTGGAATGATGAAGTCGGGTCACTGGTGTGGATCACCCCCTCGTCATTGTTTGAATAGAAGAGGCCTTTGAACAGGTGCCAGAATCAGACCACAGTGGAAAAAGACGAGGCCCCCACACAATGCAACACCACCAGCAGATCTCTGTAAATTTATAGCGTCATCTCGCCATAATATGGGAACGAAGTAACCTTGTGATGAACTCGGTGGGAGGAAATGACTAATGGGAGGAGATAGTCGATACAGTATTTATACTGGATGGGTGTCTAAGCTCTCTCGAGCCCCTTCTGGAGTAGAGGAAGCTGGGGAGGGGGACCTTATTTCCTACAGCTATGTTATTAAGCACCGTTTGGGTGAAAGGGAAGGGGCGGGGAAAACCTCTGATGCTTTCATGTTCAGACCCCACAGCTGTCTTTGGCCTGAGTCGCAAGCAAGCCTATGCATAATCTGGCTAAAGCTTGCACTTCGAACGCTTGCAAAACACAGGTGTCTCTTCATGGCCGGCGGCGGCGGCGGCTTTTGACGAGTGATCATGTTATTTTAAAAGGTTGTCAGTGATTAGAAGACATTCATAAGTTATTTTAAAAGAGGAAGCTGCGTCACTCATTTGTCTTTGGGTCTTCAGTTTGTATTCAGTGGCAAATGTACAGGCACGCATTCTGGGCTTTCCAGGGGAGTGAAATTTAGGCACGAGGCGGTGATGGCCTTGCTCAGTCCCCCTGCCCATCTCTACTGCCTCCAGCCTTCCCGTGATGGGCATCTTGGGACATCGTGGGAAAGAG